AAAGAAAGAAAGAAAGAAAGAAAGAAAGAAAGGAACCTGTAGGCTACACCACGGTTTTTATTTTAGACAAGAATTATTACCATGTATGGTGGCAAACACCTTTAATCCCAGCAATCAGAAGGCAGAAGGAGGCAGATCTCTGTGAGTCTGAGGCCAGCCTGGTCTATATAAGTAAGTTCCAGGTGAACTAGGCAAGATCACACTGTGAGACCCTAGCTCAAAAAACCAAAATAAACAAATAAATAAAAATAAGCCAGGTGGTGCTGCTGCATAACTTTAATCCCAGCACTCAGGAAGAGGAGACAGGCAGATCTCCGAGTTCAAGGCCAGCCTGGTCTACAAAGTGAGTTCCAGGACAGCCAGGGCTACACAAAAAAATTCTCTTGAAAAACAAAAAAATAAAATAAAATAAAATAAAAAATAAAGAATTATCATTGTAAGAAACAAAATTAGTTTACAATGGATTTTCAAAGGGCACAAGACTAAAACACGAGTCATTGATGCACTGGTTGTACCTTTATTAATTTTACCTCGTTCACTAGCAGTTCTGTGATGCAAGGTTACAATACACAGTTAGATAATGTCTGCATTACACATCTAAGGCTATACAGCAAAAGAATCAGGATTAGTACAAATACAAGAACTGTATTTACATTTTGTATACTCAAGCTCCAAACATCAGATATTTACAAAATAAAACATGAAAATGAAATCCAAAATTAATAATGTACATTGTTGCTTGTGCTCAACTCCTTCACTGGGGAGAGATCAGTTTGCAAAGTCTTGGTTCAAAAAGGCCACTTATGCTTCATGGGTTCTGTCACAGCATGGGGATGGTGATGAGAGACTTGGCTCTCAACAGACAAGTACTTTAGAGCCACAAAGTCTAAGACAATGTGTAACCATGAGAAGGCTGGTGGATTCCTTGGGAGAACTGATGCCAGAATACACAGCATGGAGAAAAAAAAAACAAACACCCAATTAAAGACACGACAAGCAACGTGTAACATCCAGGGTTTGGCATGAGACCAACCTCGGCCTGGACTTTCTGTCTGAGCAGCTATCTACCAGGAGGCTTTTTGTCTCTGCTTTGCGGCACTGGGGACTGAACCAAAGGCATCACACAACTGCCAAGTGCTCTATCACTAAGCTGCACCCCTAACCTCTAGTTGTAACCTCTGGTGTTTTTAACACCAGTTCTGTATCAACTCTTAATTTCTTGAAGTAATTAGGGTCTCTCAAGATTTTATAGAGCTCAAATACCTACTTCATAAATGGCCTTTTGAACAGTAACAGCAATAATCTCTCAGCTGATGATCTCTGACTTGCTCCACAGTCATGGTCTTACCCACTCTTGGCGGATCACTGGTTATGGCAGATGGCTGCACTTCACAGCGCCAGAGTTTAATTCAAATGCATTCAGCAGACCTTCTAAGAGCAGCAACATAATTATTCTTTTCTTCTCATAGAGCAAGTTAAAGATTACAATTTCAAAAAGGAACCCAAATGAAAAGTGAAGGACCCATGCCAAATGAACACCCAGCCCTGGTATTGTTCAGGAGAGCCAGAGCACAGCACCCACGAGGGACTGCAAGAGTCCCAACAGGCGCCACCCAGTGCAGAATCATCCCATCAGTCCAATGTGCAATTCATTACAGCTGTATAAATATACAAACACCTTACAAAATTAAATCTCCCTGTAAATTAGACAAGCAGCAGCAGGTAACAAAGTCTATGCTTTGAAATACATTCCAGGAATCACCTGTTTTTAGACCTCAAAGACCTTTCACAATCATCCTTCATTCTTTCATCTAAACAAGATGAAAAATCTTGAAAATGAATAGATATATAGATCCACGCAGCTGAAGGAGAAAAAGGAATGGTTTCTTGGCTGATGGACCTTCAGCACTCCCCTCAAGTTTCTCATTCACGGATGGGTTCAGGGGCTGCTCGGAAGCAGCCTGGCCTGTGCTCCTGCCTAACCTTGTGCAAGGACTGCCTGGCCCGCACAGTCTGGGCCTGAGAGCTGGCTGACTCCCAGGGTAGTCTCCCAGAAGCAGGCAAGGCCTGAGCACTGGTCAGGGTTAGTTATGAGGCTCTATTTGCTTGGGAGGAAGGAGGAGAAATAAAGGAAGAGGGAGGATGATTAATTTTAACCAGCATTCACTTTCTGTAATTTGTAGGTTTTTATTCTAGGTTTTTTGTTTAAAAGAGTGCTTTGAAAATTATATATATATAAATAAAGGTAGTTTCCTTAAAGTCTAGTTGTCTTAACTTTCCTGCTACCATGGCAACCACAAAAATCTCCCACATAGGTCCTTCCTTTTTCAAAGCTTCAAAGCAGAGGTGAGCTTGTCTGGAAATGGAACATCCATGCCCAACTGCTCAGATTCCAATCTGAGCATGGGCCTACAGAAAGAGGGGCACCACCAGTGGCAGAGAGAAACACATGTGCCCCAGTTCCAATCCCACTTTTCCCGGTCTCCTAATGAGGCTGCCTTATCTGGGCATACGTGAAGGGGCGGTCCAGTTTGGCTCACTCTAACATTTGATATTTGCAAAGCAAAGACTTTCTAAACCAGTTTTGTTAGAGTTAAGAAAACACAAGTCATTGCAGGGTTTAGTGCGTGAACAATCCACTCTCCCTCAGGCTTCACACCTCTCACCACAGACACGGACCCATCCAACTGCGTAACAGCAGCAACATCAGTGATTCCATTGAAAAGTCACCTTTTCTCTTCATTTCCCTGAAATTAGATTTCGTTCTGGTCCAGGAAGCTGTCTTCAAGCACAGACAGAGCCTGCTGGATTTGAGTATACACCAGAGGGGCATGTTGTGTTCATTAGACAACAGAGACTTCTAACTACATTAAAAATCTCATACATATGCTTAGAAAACAAGTAACATTACAGTTAGTGACCTATGCTTTAAAGAGAGAAAGGAAGTTTTAAAAACCCACCAAAGTATTTGTTGATCAATTTTTTAGATAAAAAGTCTGATTTTTGCCCTTTCTTTTCTCCATGGTCCACTTTTCCTTTTCTTTGCAAGGCAACAGTAACAAACAGAGCTGGGAGTCCTGTTCTTCAGAGAGAAGCCCCGCTGAGAGGTCAGAAGCAAGGGTCTGCATACCCACACACCTCCCTAGTGGCTGCTCTGCAGTGGTGAATGAGCTCCTGACCAGAAAGAAATCCATTCCACCATTACCCTCAGGTGAAGAACCCTCCCAGAGTGGAGGTGAGCAGATGCTTTCCTGGGTGCCTGAGTGATGGTGAAACAGGCTGGCAAGACCAGTAAATGGCAGCATGAATGAGCCCCAAGTCACTGGAAAGCAACTGAAGGATCCAAACCAGGGCCTTTCTGTGCTCTACTCAGTCCCGTAACACTGGCAGGTAAAGGAAGAGCATGATTTTCTGATGGTCTCTTGAACCCTGACCTGGTTTGTTAGAAGCCACAGAAACTGGGAGCAGGGAATTCTTCTTTCTAAGGGGGTACTTCCAAACCACATGGGAAACAGTGGGGGGTGGGCAGGGCAGGATCCAACAGCAAACCACAAGACAGTTGAGGACACTCCTTCTCATCCCTAAGTGTTGTCTTCTGATTTGTTTGGAATGGTGGTGGTAACTGAATCCTGGCATCCAGAAAACAAAGCCTGCCATGACAAGCATTATTGGGAATGGCCACTGGATTCCAATGGTGACTTCAAAGTTTATGCAGAAGCTACAATTTTTTGACCAAAGGGAGCTACAACAATCACAAGTTGCACTCAGCACTCTCATATCAACATTGATCCAGTTTATCCCCAGAAGTCAAACACTCCCCGACTCCCCCTTGTGGGAAATGTGTTCATGACATCACATAATTCCAAACAGTGTGACCAGCATCGGAAATGCTAAGAACAGAGTTGCGAAACTCCAAGACAAAACCCTTCTTCCCAGTGAGGAGGAGAAAGTCTGCAGGATTCTGCTGTGAGCAACTCTAGCCCATCCTCTAATGATCACCCTCATGACCCACCGCCCAATCCATTGTAGCAGCCTGGCCTCAAAGGGCCAACAGCAGCCACTGTCCAGGCCTATCACAAAGGACCTTCTGTCTCTTCCTCTCTATAAATCCATGCTCTAAGCCCTGGTTTGGATAGAGAATATAAATCCTATTTCTGAGTTTCCCACAGTGCTTTCCCTGAATGGAAATGCAGGGATTAGCCACCAAATAAAGAGACAGAAGGAGGGAAAAGCAAATTTTTTTCTCAAGGACTGACATGCCAAATGTCTCCTCTCTTAGTCTCTAAGCCACCCAGGAAAAAGTAGTATTATCATAAACCGAATGAGAGAGAGAGAGGAGAGAGAGAGAGAGAGAGAGAGAGAGAGAGAGAGAGAGAGAGAGAGATTGATATTACCCTGAAAACCAGAGATACACAGAGACAACAGACACACAGTGATTATAAGGGGATCTATCATTCAAAAAGAAGCGGAAGTACACTGGGAAACAATCTGGAGATTTGCTGGACCCTCAGGGTTTGTGTGTGAATGTGAGTGTGCATGAATATGTGTAGTGTTTTTTTCCCCTTTTCTTAGGCCACATGCTACAAGTCTTAGCACAAGAAAAAGAAGAGTACAGAACCATGGAGATAGGGAACAGGAGAGCTAGAGAAGTGCTGGATGAAAGGGAGGAGTAGTTAAGCCACAAGATTACAGACAAGAATAACCGTTAAGAATCACAAAGAGAATGAGAGGTAACACTTTCTTTATCTGTCCAAGGCGAGCAAGGCTCAGCAGAATAGCTTAGTATTTCATCTGGCTCGGGCATCTGCGAGAGAGTTTTGACCTATGAGAAAAATGGGAGGCAGGGTTAGAAAACTGGATATAGGTCTCCTCACAAGTAACACTGCAGGCCCAGGTTTCTATGCTCCTAAATATGACTAGACTGTGGTCTTCTCTACTCGGGGAAGTCTGTGAGATAAGCCCCTCAGAAACAGAGAGCTGAATTATGGGAGCTCATTAAGGCACTCAAAGTCTTTCCTTTACCCAGTGCTCTCCCCTGCAGGCCTCCTGAAAGCTGAAAACAAAAGGAGACAAGTGGTGAGCCCTAAGTGTTCTTATGGTGAGGACACAGCTATCTTATAGAAACAGGGACTCGTCTTCACCTTATACCTTCCTTACACTCTTGTCATCCCTCTATTTTCAACCCAGTTCAAATGACATGTCTTTTCCTCTTTATGCTGCTATCTCGGGGGCTGAAAGCCAAGGAGAGAAAGGAAATGGCTTCCTAGAGCCAGGAATGGTACTGTACACATGTAATCCTAGCACTTGGGAAGAAGTGGAGAACTTGGAATCCAGCCTGGGCTACACAGTAGGAATGTCTCAACAAGACAAAATGAAACAAAAGAACAGCCTTTTACCGTATTGTGCCAGCCAGAAGTGGGTTAAAGGCATATAACCAGTCGTTCATGTCTTTGTCATTGAGCGCTTGCAAAAGGACCCCACGGTGCTTTGTGCATACAGCAAAGGTATTAGGTGTCTGAAAGAAACAGTAAGTAAATGAGAGAGTTATTGTAGAGAAAGAAAAATGGGGACCATCTTGCCATAGTCACAGGATGCACAGCACTTCATACTGAAAGTTCAAGCAACCCAGATATAAAGTAGGGCCCATGCCACAGAGCAGAGAGCCAAAACTCTAAAGGGAGTAATACAGGACAGACTGACCTTCACCATGGCCTGCTGGTCCTCACTGTACTCCACCTGTGCTGTAGACAAGTTAATGATGCCACGTTCTACTGGGTCTTTGTCACTGTTATAGATGAAGACATAAGGACGACGAACCACAACGAAATGTTTAGCCCAGTTGCTGGAAAGTGGCTCCTTGAAATGCAGGTATCCCTTCTTAGATACCACTGACCTAAAGGACAGTGCAAAAAAAAAGTCAGTTTTTCCTAAAGTAATTAATAAGCTGAGAACCATCAACATACGCTTCTACTAGGCTGGCCTTCAGATGCAGCAGACAGACAAATGGTCCATTTGGCCTAGATTCTCACTGGTCAAAGCAACACAGAAAAAGAGCAAATGCCACAACACAGAATGCCAGGCGCAGACGCCTGATGCACACAGCAGGGACCGTTAGTGTACTCTAGGCTGGAACAGACTTGCACATAAGAACTAGACAACCCACTCCTGATGCTGTCTCTTATTTGGCAAGGCTACTTGTCACAGTACTCACCCTGCTCTAACTTCTTCAATGTCTGGAACAAGATTGAGAAATTCATTTTTTCCTGCTCGGGCCAAATAGGGTGTCTCCACAGTTGGGACGATCTGAAACTGTTCAAATTCTTGGCAGGGACTAGAGGCACGAGAATTGGCTTCTGGGGTCCTTACAGAGGAAGAAAGGTGTAAGAAGCATTCAGGAAGGTCAAAGCACCTGTGGACATCACCCTACCAGGACACAGTGCCGCTGCTTAAGTACCAGGGCAAACATCAGCTTCAGAGTTCAGTTAAGACAAGCTGGTGTCAGAATGGTAATTCTCAATTCTACTTTATGTTTTCCTTGCAAAAGGACACTGGGGGCCACTGAGTCACAGTCTCGCCTGCTATTCTATGAACATAGGCATCTGAATATGAACTCTATGCCCTTGTGAGTTCCTTTCAGTTTCACAGCCAGACCTGAGGCAGTGGTTCTCAAAATATGGCCCCTGACTGACAGCAGCAGCATTCTCTGGGACTGGTAGACTTCACAATCAGAAACTCAGGGAGGCGCTTGGCCACTGTACTGTAGCAAGTTTCCAGGGGTTTTTAGTAAGTCCGCCATCTTGGGAAACAGTAAAGAAAGTGAACAATGAGAAGAGAAACATCTAGGTTCCTAGGCCCACAGGAGCAGAGTGGTGATCGGCCATTTCTGTTGTGTTAGGGACCTCCTAGAACAGCTTAATCTGATGATCTTTCTGATTCTAAAAGTCCATTTTGCAAACATTACTATTTCGTGTGTGTGTGTGTGTGTGTATGTGTGTGTGTGTGTGTGTGTGTGTGTGTATGAGCTCATGCTAGTGGAGGCCAGATATCAACACTGGATGCCTTTCTCTACCATTCTTCACTGAATTTTTAAAAGTTTTAATCTTTCATATAATGTCTGTAAGTTGAGAGTTTTATACCTATATACAATGTATTTTGATCGTCTCCACTTCTCTATTTCCCCCAGCTCCCTCTGACTCACCAACACATGCCCCTTCCAACTTCATGCTAATAATCCACTGAGTTCAGTTAGGTATTCGCATAGCTGTGGGCCATCTAGAAGGGCAAGGGCAGCCTACTAGTGGCCATGCACCTATGGCTCTCTCCAAGCAGCCATCAGTTGCCAATAGTTCCTCAGCTAGGCAAGGGACCTTGTGAGCCTACCCTATCCATGGGAGGACTGTGACTGGCTCCATCGTGTGTAGGCCTTGGTAGGCGACCACAGCTGCTGTTGATTAATGAGTTGCAAAGGTCATGTGTCATCCAGAAGCAGCGTTTCACAGTACTCTTTCCCATCTCCCAGTTCTTAAATTCCATCTGTTCCCTCTTTTGTTATGTTCCCTGAGCCTTGGAAATGGTATTTTTGGACAGGGTCTCTCACTGAATCTAGAACTCAACAACTTTAGCTAGGCTAACTGGCCAGCAAACCCCCAGGATCCACCTGTCTCTGCCTCCTCAGCACTGGGATTATAGGCACGTTCCACTGAAAATGCTTTTCACATGGGTGCTGGGGATCTGAACTCAGGTTCCTAGGCTTGTACGGCAAGACCTTTACGTAAGAGCCATCTCCCCAGTCCTCCATGTTTTATCATTTCTTCATCTGGGATACAGCTTTCATTTAGTTGGTGTGTTTAATTAGCTTTTCCTTTCTTAGTGGCACATATAACAATTTCATACAGCTAATAATATTCTAAATTTATTTATTTATTATTTGTTTGTTTTTTTTCTCAATACAGGGTTTCTTTGTATAGCCCTGGCCATCTGGAACTCACTCTGTAGACCAGGTTGGCCTCAAACTCAGAGATCTGCCTGCCTCTGCCTCCTGAGTGCTGGAATTAAAGGCATTCACCACCACCATTGGCCCTAAATTTAATAAGATTTAATGAAAAAAGTGCCCACACATTTCTGAGTGGTCTGTAATAGGATAGTGATGCCTTACTGAGAACCAGAACTACAGCAAAGCTGGTTTTTCTTTCCTTATGTCTGTGAAATCTGAGTACTTACTTCTGATCTATTGAGTTGCTCCTTGAGTCCACCAGAGAGGGGCATGTGGAGGAGGGGGTGAGGGTAGAACTGCTAAAGCTGGACACAGAGGGATCCCGTCCAATTGGAGAGATAGCAGACAGCTAGAAACAAGGACATGACCAGTGAGATTCAGCAGCAAAACAACAGAGCTCAACAACTTTAGCTAGACTAACTGACCAGCAAGCCCCCAGGATCCACCTGTCTCTGCCTCCTCAGCACTGGGATTATAGGCACGTTCCACTGAAAACGCTTTTCACATGGGTGCTGGGGATCTGAACTCAGGTTCTCTTGTATGGGAAGAACTTTACCTCTGCCTCTGCTGTAGAGAACAGCAGAAGTTGTTTAAGACAACCAGTGCCTCCTTTTTATTAAGCTGATTCAAAAGTCTTTAAAGAAGACAAGCCTCAGCTGGGTGTGGGGGAACAAACTTTAATCCTAGCACTCAGGAGCCAGAGGCAGACTGATCTCTGAGTTTGAGGCCAGCCTGGTCTACAGAATGAATTTCAGGACAGCCAGGGCTACACAGAGATACCCTGACTCAAAAGATGAAAAACCAAGCCAAGCAAACAAGCAAGCAAACAAACAAAGTTGACAAACCTATACACACAATTTAATTACTGTTAGTAGACGATGTACCCTTGGCTCTAGCCCCAGAGTGGGAAGAAAAAGAAGAAGGGGGAGATGAAGGAAGGAGAAAAGAGAACAAGAAACGTCTTTTATCATTAATTCTCCTTGCTATTAAACAGCCTTATGCACATAAACATCATGCACCTATAGCATGCATACATTGTTCTAAGCACATGGCAGAATTCCTGCTCTCCTGGAGCATACATTGTTTGATCAAGAAGAGAGACAGACTTTTTTGTTTTGTTTTCTTTTGATTGAGACACATTTCTCTGTGTAGCTCTGGCTGTCCTGGAACTCACTCTGTAGACCAGGCTGACCTCAAGTTCCAGAGTAGCCAGAGTTACATAGTGAAACTTTGTCTCAAAAAAAAAAAAAAATCACAATAAATAAGTAAATAAAAATTAAAAGTGCCAGACAGTGGGGCCATGACTCAGTGGTTAAGAGCACTGGTTGCTCTTACAGAGGACTTGTGTTCGATTCTTAGTACCCACAAAGTGGTTCACAACTATCTGTGACTCCAGTTCCTAGGGATCCAACACCTTTTCTGACCGCCACCGGTGCCAGGCACAAATGCAGTGCACAGAGCTACATGCATGCAAAATGCCCATAAATATCAAATTAAAACAATAAAATGAAAAACAAGAGTTTCAGAGAGCTTCTAGCTTGCTATGTGGGCTGAAAGAGGCCCATTCCCAAGAAGACAATGCTGGAACAAAACCCAGAAGAAATGATGGATATAAACATTGGAATGTCTAGAAGAAAGTATATGAAGTCTACAAAGACCCAGGCAAGGAAAAGCCAAACAGTCAAGCTGATTACGACACAAGCACTCTCAAGTGCCATCACTCTCTGCCGAAGGCCCTGAGCTTGGTGCTGCCAGTAGCCTTATAACTTTTTTAAAAAATTTATTTATTTTTATCTTATGTGCATTGGGTGTTTGCCTACATGTATGTCTGCGTGAGGGGATCAGATCTTGGAGTTACAGACAGTTGTGAGCTGCCATGTGGGCACTGGGAATTGAACTCAGGTCCTCTGGAAGAGCAGCCCGTGCTTTTTAACTGCTGAGCCACCTCTCCGGTCCTCGCCTTATGACTTTTGTGTCATACAAAAGCATACCACTTCCTACATCACATTCAGTGACTCAGGAAAAAAAAACAAAAAACAAAATATTTTCTGTATGACGGTGACCCTAAGCATCATAGAGGGAGACCGCCATCTTCAGAAGTCAGAACTCTGACTGTACAAAATCAGAAGACATACCAGAGAATAAGAATACCTTTAAACACAATCTATAACTAACGCTGGTCCTAAAAGCACAAAAGCTGTGACAGGAAATTTGGACAGCTGGAAACAGTCATCACCATGACAGTGAAAAACAACAGTCTTAGTATGCTCACCTTACAGTCACTGATGCTGCCATGTACCTGGTTGAATTCTCGGTTGAAAGTGTGGGTGAGAAGCTGCAGGCACTAAAAAAGAAAGACAGAAGGTGAATTGGTTAAAATTGACCATAAAACTCCAATGGCTAAATGAACGCCTGTATTCAAGGAGAACTAACATGTCCAACACCTATGCTAGAGCTCAAATGTTGCCTTAGAATAACTAAGAATATGCTGAGGAAAACCAGGATATATCTAGTTAAGGCCATAAAAATCAAATGGATTTAAACAACCATTCTTTTTTCCCCCCCAAGACAGGGTACTGTGGAATAATCCTCTTGTACACTGTAAAGATTTATCACTGGAATTGGTTTAATAAAACACTGATTGGCCAGTAGCCAGGCAGGAAGTGTAGGCAGGGCGACCAAACTAAGGAAGAGAGTCACCAGCCAGATTCAGGGGAAGCAAGATGAGAATGGCATATTGAGAAAAGATACCAAGCCACGTGGCTAAACACAGATAAGAATTATTAGTTAATTTAAGTGTAAGAACTAGTGAGTAATAAGCTTGAGCTACTGGCCGAGCATTTATAGTTAATATAAGCTTCCTGTGTGGCAATTTGGGAAGAGGCTGCTGGGTATTTGGGACTTGCTGGCAGGTCAGAAACTTCTACCTACAACAGGGTTTCTCTCTGAAACCACCCTGGATTCACTTGCCTCTGTCTCATGAGTGCTGGGATTAATGGCGTGTGCTACCACCTAAACAATCACTCTTCATACAACCAAAGCAAATCACTAAATATCATAGTTTAGAAGTGCTTAGGAGCACAGTGGCCCATAACAGCAGAGGTAGGCAGATGTCTGTGAATTCAAGGTCAGTTGGTCTACATAGCAAGTTCTAGGCCAGCTAGGAATATATAATAGAAAGACTGCCTCAAAAAAAAAAAAAAGAAGAAGAAGAGGAAGAAGGAAGAGGAGGAGAAGGAAGAGGAGGAGAAGGAGGAGAAGGAGGAGGAGGAAGTAGTAGTGGTAGTAATAGCAGTAGCAGTAGTAGTGCTGCTTAGGAATATAGCAGCAGGACCAGGCATGGCAATATATCTCTCTAATTCCAGCACTGAGCAGACAGAGCCAGGAGTTCAAAGCTAGCTTGATCTATATAACCAGTTCCAGATCAGCCAAGGCAATACAGGAAAGACTCTGTTTCAGAAAACCCAAAAGAATGAACATCCCTTTAATTCTGAATTCAATAAAATACATGGACATGGGTTGGGAATATAGCTTAGTAGTAGTATCTGCCTAGCATATATGAGGATCTAAGTTCAATTCCCCACACTAGAAAAACAAAAAACAAAAGCATAACATTTCCGGTTTCCTAAACCCTCTAGAAGACCACTTACTTAACTACTAAGGCAAGACAGACAAAAACCCTGTCAATTTTCTATTTCCTCTGTCACCAACTCCTGAGCAACTACACACCCAGGAGTCACTCTCAACACCCTCTGCCTTCTCCCACCTAGCCAGATCCCCTTCCTCATGTTCTTAAAGGCTTCATCTTTCCTTCTTGGATCACTGCCCCAAGGACCTCTTCTGCAGTTTCACAAAGCTATCCTTTTTATTTCACTGAAGAAAACTTGTACTGTTTTACTGTTGTTTAATTGAATGGATTTTCTGTGGTACTTAAGGTCAAACTCAGGGCAGTGCTCATGCTGGGTAAGTGCTCTACCACTGAGTTATATGCCATTATTCCTATTAAAGAATTTCTAAATCCTGTTTAAGAAAACATAGAAACAAATACCATTGAAAATATTTACAGCACTCCCAGGACCCACTGCAAAGTCCTGGATGCCCCACATAGGACCCACCCCATTCCTGTCCCTCTACCACGAGTTCCTTACTAACATGTACTTCCAAGGACAGTTCACGATGACGCCACATCTATAAGACACACCACTGTGATATGCTTGTTACCCAGTCTCAAGCTTAAGGGCAAGAATTTATCCTTATTATTTCTACATTCAGTGTTAGTGTCTTCCAAGAAAATGGCTGAAAATGAAAGAACACAGAGACGATCTCAGTCCCCCTGGTGGTGGGGACTCTAAGCGAAAAAGAAGGGACTCCCTACCTTTGTAGCCAGTTCTTTCTCTCGGTCTACCAGGCTCTCGATGTCTGCTGAGTCATAGCCGCTGCTCTCACTCGGCGTGATGGCACTTTCAAAGGTGGTGGTTGAGATCTGAGAAGACATACTGGTCGAGGTACTAAGGGTCCCACTGCTGAGGCTGGGGGACAATGAGTCACTCAGAGACTTGGGTATGCTGTCACCAAGTCTCTCCCGAAGCAGCAAGAAGTGGCGTGTTTTTTCCACCTGAGAATATGAACATCATTATCTAAGCTTATTAAGTGTTTTAATAGGCACATCATTATGCTTTCATCATCACAGAAAACCAACAGTTAGCGGAGGTCCTGAGAGAAGGCAGGAGTAGGACTGAGTGGCTGCTATCCTCCCTGAGTCCTCCATACCTCATGCAGCAGCTCCAGCTTCTCCAGCTCCCACTGGTGCTCCAGGATAAGGCTGTCTCCACGAGGTCGCCAGCCTGCTAGGTTCTCTTCTCCCCGCACATATGCCACAGACGTATCCAAGACTTTTCTCCTCCGCCTCTGCATGCCTAACAAGAAGAAACATATCTTTTTTGTTTTTTATACCCCCAGACAAAAATCCAATGTCAATTTAGGTCAAAACAAATTATTAACTCTTATATATATTTACACAGCAAACTAAATTTGACCTTAAAATCTATGAGATTTTATTAACAAAATCGATGTCGGGAATAGTGGCACTCTAGCAGGTAATGTTTGTGAGTTTGAGGCCAGCATGGTCTACACACTGAGTTCCTTGACAGTCAGGGCTAAAAAAGAGAAAGAAAGCCAGGTGGTTGTAGCACACAGCTTTAATCCTAGCTCTTGGGA